AAATTCAATCAGCAGCATAGATCTGTACAAGATAAATTGTCTACATCTATCTGCTATCACTTTTTGCACTTGTGCATCAAATTAACTTGCACAGGCAAAGTCAGAACTGAAAACTAACAAGCTGAGTAAAGTATTAGCCCTAGATAAGCTTCTTCCTGTTATGCTTTATCACTGTGCTGGAATAAAACTATGATCTTTTTTTTTTATGTCATTGCTGTTTGATGTTGCTTTTAAGTTTTATGATCTGTTTTAAAGTTACTTAGGAGTGAGGTGTTACATACATAGACAGTTTTATTAACAAAATTTAGCCTGCTAGAATGTTGCCTATTCAGGTGGATTGACTCTGGCAGGACACTAGGTGCCAACCAAAGCCAATGTATCACTTCCTTTTCAGCTGGACTAGGTACAGAAGATACAATGAAAGGCTCATGAGTTAAGGATGGGGAGAGATCACCCAGCAATTGCCATCACAGTAAAAGAGTCTCGGGGAAATTATTTCAGCTCCTTACCAACCAGATCAGAATAGGGTAATAAGAAGTGAAACTAAATTTTAAAAACCTTTCCCCCCCTCCCTTCTTCTCAGGATTAACTTTATTCTTGAATTCTTCCCCCAGGCAGCGCAGGGGGTGAAAGGGGGGCTGTGGTCAGTTCTTCATATGTTGTCTCTGCTGCTCCTTCCTTCTCAGGATAAGGACTCCTCACACTCCCCTCTGTCTCCAATATGAAGTCACTCCCATGGGAGATGGACCTTCATGAAGTTCTCCAAGATGAGTCCTTCCCATTCTCCAAGATGAGTCCTTCCCATGACCTGCAGCTCTTGACAAATTATTCCAGTGTCAGTCCTTTCTGCAGGGTGCAGTCCTTCAGGAACAGGCTGCTCTAGTGTGAGTCCCCTAGAGGGTCACAAGTCCTACCAGCAAACCTGGTCCAGCATGGGCTCATCTCTCCACAGGGCCACAGGTCCTAACAGAAACCTGCTCCAGTTCAGGCTTTCCACAGTGTCTCCACCCCACCTTGCACATCCACCCACTCCAGCACTGGGTCCTCCACAGTCTAGAGATGTATCTCTGGGTATGCCATGGACCTTGGTGAGCTGCTGGGGCACAGCTTTCTCATCATGGTCTTCACCACAGGCTTCGTGGGTGGCTAATTTTGTGATTGGAACACCTCCTCTCTCTCCTTCTAGTGATCTTGGTGTCTGCAGGGCTGTTTCTCTCACATATTCTCACTCCTCTCTTCAGGTGCAATTGCTGTTGTGCAGGGTGGGGTTTATTCCCTTTAAGCACATTATTCCAAAAGCTCTACCACCATCACAGGTAGTGTGATGGCTAAAGCTCAGATGGCTAAGGCTGAGCCTCAGCCAGCATTGTGTCCTTCTTGGCCCTGGGTGAAGTTTCTGGCAGCTTCTAACAGAAGCCATCCCTGTAGGGCTCCCCTCCATGCATACACTACCTAAACCTTGTGAAAGCAAAGCTTTGCTAAAACTACTTGTTTAGAATGTGTTAGAACTTAAAATGAGAGGAGAATGTTATCCCTTTCTTGTCTTTCTAATATTAGAGAGATATTCTAGGAAATAATAACCCGATGCCTTTTTCCTAGACTGTTTATCAAATGGAACGACAGTATGTTTTCCCACACTGAGCACTCTCTGCATGAGATTTGGTGGAGTCTCAATTTAGGTCATTTTGTTTAATTGATTCATCTCTTCTGTAACTATATCTTCACAGGTTTGCTTTTTTTGCTATATAAGTTTGGGCTTTGCTAATGCTGCTGTAGAGATGGGATTCAACATCACTTTTTTTTGCCTCTATTTTCTCCTTTTTCGTGCCTTGAGGGTACTTTCTATATCAAGTTGTCTTCTATGTGTCTCCATCACCTAAGGGAGCATTCCTGGGTTGAGGTACAGTAAAGGATGATCTCCTATTCTTATATATTCAAATGAAATGTGATGTTTATTGTTTCAATTGTATGAAATTGTGTGGAATAGTATGAAATAGTAAAATTAAAAATTACTTCTATCAATAAAAAGAAACTGGCATATGTTTCTGGTTTTTTTGAATACTTGAGGAAGCCCAATTTCAAAAGGTTACAATTTTAGTGCTTCATACCCCTCTCTATTTTCCAATTTCAATAGTAGGAATGTTCTGTTCTGTTTTATTGCCATTTGTATTTGAAGTGCTTTATTGTTTTTGGCTTGAGTGATAATTTCTTATATCTGCTAAGGAAATTGCATCAATACAGTAAATATTGTAAACTTCCATGTTTTGAGAAAGACTTGCTCTAACTCTCCTCTGAGACAAATTATTTAATCTTCTTCATTGGCTCAGTAATCTTGAAAAGGATCAGGTCTCTTCCTTTGTGACCCCCCAAAGGGATGAGTCGTGGCATTTAAAAATTCAAAATTTGGCTTTCATGTTCTTTTAATGTTTCTCTATGGATCTTGGAAAAAGCAGGTCAGGCATGCTGCCAAAGTTCAAATGTACTCAAAATGAGGGTAGTCTTTCCCACCCTAATCAAGCACAATTGACAAATAAGGCCATACATTAATACATATGTTCTCAATTATTGATGCTGTCTATAGGCTTTATCATATTTTCTCAGTAAAATTTTCTTACAAAAATAACAACCAAAGTTGCTTATCATCCTCTTGATGAGCATATATGAATGTTCTTAGTATGGACTACGAATTGTTTACATACATGGAGACTTCTAGGAAGACAATTCAGCTCCATATGCAAGGGTCATGTGTTAGCAAACTTGCATGTTGGCAACATCTGTTCTGCACTTATTGCAGTGACACAGCATCAAAGTAAATGGTCAAATAAGACTAAAAACCAATAATATATTTGCAAATAAATATACAAAAATAGCACAGTAACTTCCCAATTTTACAGTAATTTTTAATTTAAATTTTGAATAATTTTTAACAATGGTATAAAATCGAGATTCCTCCAAGAATTGCTGATTACAACAGAATGCAACAGAATAGAAACTGAGGGATTTTTTTAATAGCTTTACTATTTACTATTGGTCTATTATACATATTCCTTTTCTGTGCCTTTTTTCATGAAGAGTATAGTTTTCCTTCCCAAAAGGTACTTAAATGACACTTCCAGGAGTAGTTGTACCTTCACATGCTGTAATGACACTTTTTCCTTTGTGTTTGTTTCTTATTGAATGATAAATTCTCTGTTACATATCTTCACTTGGGAAGACATTTTCAGTTGTGACCAAAGTTACTTCCCTTCCTCTCAGACAAAAGAAATGTGCATCAATTTCTTTAGAAACAACAAATTTGTTTAACTATGGGCAAGGCAACAGCCTTCTTGGACGTGCTCAGTAACTGTAAGCAAGTGAAGAATGATGGAAAATGAATGGGAAATCTCATGAATGGGTTGAAATGTGAGTAGTTAGAAGCTTAAGTTATGATGTGTATATAACTTGATTTTTTTTAAATGTGAACTATTTCCCTCAGTAGGGGTAATGGAATGTAGCCAGAGACTATTCTAGTGGGAAATGGGATCTATTTAGTTGCTAAAGAAGCCATGCAAGATGCATAAAGTAGCTGTTGCCTTATTTTATTGTTTGGATTTGGGTTTTGTTGGGCTGGGTTTTTTTTTTTTTTTTGTGTGTGTGTGCTTGTTTCTAATTTGATGCAGACTTGTGGTTTTGTTTTGTTGTGGTGTTAGGTTTGATTTGGGGTTTTTTTTACTTCAGTTTGGGGTTGTTTTGCATGGACTCATATTTTTTGCCTTGGATTTTGTTTTGGTGTTTTTTTTTTTTCCTTTGGTTTGTGGCTTTTGTTTGTTTGGTTTGGGTTTTTAACAGAAATGTAGAGAGAGAATTTTTTTCACCTATTTTACTTATGTCTTTTGGAAGACAATGCCTTTTGTCTCCTGGCAGTGGAAAAGATTTTGTGATTCATGGAAGAGTTGGGAGCATTTGATAGTTAATTTCCCTAAAATAATTTTAAAAAAAAATTGAAAATCCTAGTGTCAGAAAAGAGAAGAGTCATGCAGCTATAACTGCTATTCATGATGGAAAGACTACCGGCTATAGTGCTGCTAAAAGTTTTGGGTATTAGTAGGGAAGTAGTGATATGTCCCTTAAAGCTAAAGCTAAATGAAATCTGGCTTCTCAGTGCGAGATTGTGACACAGGAATTGTCAGTATTCTGTACATTATGAGGGATTTTTTAAAATGGGAAATATTCGGCTTTTCATAGCCATGCAAATCATCCATCTGTGTCTAACTGTATCAGTTTTGTGCCTTGAGGACCTGCCAATTAGGTAGCCTGTGATATCAGGCTTGAGACAGTGGTGTCATGCTTTGTCATGTTGGTTACAAAAATATTGGAGTTTGTATTCCAGAAATGAATAATTCTTACCTTATATTTTAATATGTAACTGTAAATTTTAATGCAAAAAGAGCTTTTCAAAGTTTTGGGTGTTTTTTCCTGACTTTCCTTGCCTTGGTCTTTTCTCTCTGATAATCTAGAATACTACAGTTTTTCATAATAACTTCCAAGACCCCCTGGCCAATTGCAGAGCTAATTATGAAATTACATGCATTTTCAAGGTTATATCATGCAGCTGAGTGAAAAACCAGTCTTATTTTAGGCTATTTAAAACTCAGGAGAGATATCAGGGGCAAGTAGTGTCATAAGAATCCAACCAATTTGGTTGAGTACTAGGACCTGTGCTTAAGTACTGTGATTCAAATAACTAATGTTGTACATAATATTTGGGGGACTGGGGTCAGAGTCTTCAGTTTATAAAGGGAGGGAGAAATAAAAACTGAGCAAATAATGCTCAGTGAAGAACAATATGACAGAAAGTTTTGGTTTGTATAAATGACTTGTACTTAAAAGAAAAATGTGGTTTTAGTTTTGATAATGTCTGACCAATGAGAATCTTTTTCAAGTTACTGTGGAGTGGCCTTAATGCTGTAAATAATCCAGTTGGCCAAGTCCCAGTACAGTGCAGATGAGAAAAGGATGCAGGAAATTCTGTTGTTTACACATGTGTCTGTTACACTGAGAAGCAAGAGGAGCCCAGCAAACTCAGAAGGTAAGGGGTCTTAAGCTTGTGGGTTTAATGTTTAATTTCTATAAATCTCTTCAGGGACAAAGCATGAGTTACTATTATGCTGAAGGTAAGGAGGAAAACAGTCTGAACTGCCCAGCAAAAGTACTGAAGATCAGAAAACAGTATTTGAAATATGTGGCTACATCTAGCTGGATTCTTCTATATTTTTGCTACTATCATGTAGCATTACTTCTAATATCCCATCAAACATAATTGGTTTTGCAAGTGTAGAAGAATGCTTACTTACTATAACCAGCTTTAAAACTTTCTAAGTGACCATTTGTTAAAAAGTTATCTCTTAGTTTTGATTAGAAATTAGTACAAATGCAGAAGTTTCGCAGATTATACAGTTTTACTACTGAAAACCTTTTTAAAATTACTTTAAAATTACTTTGTGAAATGCATGTGTAATGGCATAAACTGGCAAAACTTTGTTACCTTTTAAAGGGGGTGGTATTATGGACATAAGTGTCATTAAAATATTGTTGTGAGTTTGCAGAAGTTTGTACTGCATTTTTTTGTTGGAAAGCAATGTTTTCACAGTGTTTCTATTTTCTTAAGTTATGCAACTCAATAATGAGTTGTATAATCCTAACTTCCTTCAGGAAATATCTGAAGATGAGATTAGAAAAATGCGTTCCTGGCTGTATGCTATTATTCTAATGCAATGAATTTTTTTTTTTTTTTTGATATTATGATTTGTTGATGCTGGAGAAATATATTCAGTCTGTCATTATTTTAAAGGCAAGTATCAGAGATGGTGTGAGACACTGTGGATGATCCTTCAGCAATGAGAACCAAGGGTCAAATTCCAAAAGCAATGTTCATAAGTTTAATCAGCAGATATAGCAAATAGTACTAATGGGATTCCTACTTACTATCCAGATAGCTGCATTTTGTTTGTATTTTGTTCTCACTGATTCTTACAAACATTTTATGAAGCAGACTCTGCTATAAATAATCCTATAGCTAGAGTACTAGTTTTTAGTTTGGATTTCCTCTGTTGTTAGAAAATTTGTGTTTCTGAATGCAGCTCTTTGCATAAGATAATGAATATAAATTAATTTCCAAAATATATTAGGTATCATTAATAGAACTAGTCATATCACTTCCAAAGACATCTTCACTTCCAAAGACATCTACAAAAAATTGAAATTGAAAAATGTGAAATTAGACATCTGGGGGTGGTTTTTGTGTATTTGCATGTAGCCAGTTTGAATTGAGGCCACTCTTTCACCTTAAGTATAAAATACTAATGGTAACCTCAGGTAAATCTGAAAAATAAATCACTTGAAAATGAATGCACTAAAGGAGCTGTTAATGAGCAGGCTTAAATTACTGGTGTTACTTCAACACAGATAGATAGATTAGATAGATAGATAGATAGATAGATAGATAGATAGATAGATAGATAGATAGATTTTGGACAGACAGGTAGATATTGGAATCATTTGAAGTGTACAAATTTGATGTTCATGGAATCATAGATTCATAGAAAGGTTTGGGATGGAAGGGGCCTTTAAGATATCTAGTCCCAATCTCACCCCGCAGTACAGCAGGTTGCTTAAGGCCCCATCCAACCTGGCCTTGAACACATCTGGGGATAGAATCCACAACTTCTTGCGGAAGCCTGTTCCAGTGGCTCACCTGATGTACTCACTAGAAAGATAGTCCTTTCTAGTCCGTACAATGATCTTTAATTGACTGGTTTACTATGAAAATGATCCTTCCTGAACAGCTTGATTCTCTTCTCATGCTAATTCAGTAATCTAGGTCTGATTTACACTGGGTTAAAAAGGCTGGGTTTTTTTACCAAGCCCATTCTTATTTAATGTCAATCACATTACTGGAGGAATACCAGGGAGGAATTTTAGTGAAAGCTCCTACTGTTTTAATTTTTTTTTAAATGTATTTTCAGTTGACTTGGATGTTTCTCCATAACTTTTGTAGGTGTCCGTTTTTGAAAAAGGGTGCCAACTTCCCTTCTGCCATGTTGAGTAGTCACCAATTATTCAAATCATTTCTTCTCTTTTAGTGGGACTACATATTGTCCTAAAGTGAGTGGGCACTAAGATAACATACATGCTTCTCTATGCGTTGAGTGACATCTAGGACACAACCAATGCTACTTAGTGATTTATTTTATTTGACCACTCTAGTAACTGTGGAGTCCAGGTAAAAGTCAGAATGTGGATTTTTCCTTTGTTCATTTCCCTCAAGGATGATTTAGTGGAGTTGGGGTCATCATGGGATAGTATCTTACAGCATTAAATCACACAAAATCACAGTCCTTGGGCTATTGAAAGACATGAGCTGGTGTGAAAATACTAGACTGGTTAGGGAAAAATAAGAATAATTACATATAAATGTCCAATAGCAATCCTTTTGTAAGGAATGTTCTTGAAGAATTAATTATACAAGATATGGCTTCTAAAACTGTTCTGATAAAACCAAAAACATCTCCGCACAGCAGAATTGTCAATTCTGATACAACTCTATCAGAGTAGTTGAACCAGCCAAAGGGACATGCTCTGACCCAGAGAAAACAAAATACTCATAAGTGTTCTTACTTGTCTGCTTATGTGGGTGGGAAAATCACTTGTTTCTAGACTGAGCAGTGTTTTGAAGAAAAATTGTTTTGTGTCCTAATAAGCATTGGAATGTTTTATGTCTTGGTCTGAAACAAATCATCAGTTATTTGTGATTAATTTTCCCTTCTCCCAGTGTTATGAAATTTCCTTTAAAAGTAGGTCATGTTTTGAATAGGAAAGCATCATAAATGGCTTCAATTCTAACAAGACAATTCTTGATCTCTCATATCATAAAGTGTATGGTTTTAAGATACTGTTAAGGGTTTTAAAACTCTGAAGAATTTCTCAGAGTATAAGCAGGGATTAGAAACTTAACTTTTTCAGGGATATGCCATTACATCTTAACACTTTATTGAAAATAAAAGAAAGACAAGAAAAAACAAAAAAAGCCACACCGGAAAAAAACCCAAAACAAAACCCGACCCCCTCTACTCAGTGGGATAAAAAAGCCATGTAAATGAAAGTGAAGCTATCCAGTTCAAGGTCACTTTCCAAATGAGTAACATAGAAGATAATAGAATTGAGGTGCAGGCTCTAGAAAATAAAGTTGTGATGGTGTTGTCTAAATAATGAAGTTTCTCTATACATTTAAGTGATCTCTGCTGTTTGGATGAACATGTTTTAGCATTGCATCTGACCTAATTCAGATGCAATGCTAAAACATTGAACAAAAGTTCAGTAAACTGCCTTTCATAATGGTTAGTCTGTCTTCAGTTTCCTTTTTTTTAACTTTTGAGGCTAAAAGAAGCCCAGCTGAACCAACCTGTAGCCTAATCTAAAAATGTGCTAAAAATCCCAGATCTATGAAATCCTCAGTTGTGTTTGGGAGTAGTTGAGCCTCCTCAATTCAATTATTGAACTATATTCAATAAGAAGCTACAGTGACTCTCACAAGGAGATGGATTTGGCTTTTGAACATAAGTAAATGAAACATGAAACAGTAGAATGCTAATACTATCAACAGCAGGGAAAGGAATTTAGCCCTTGACAATTCAACATGATGCAATGGTCTTTTAGTTGTGTGCTATAAACTTATTTATAGCTTATTTGCAGTTATTTATATTTGATATAGGTTAAATTGTTTAACTAATACCCTGAATGAAAACCACCATTTGAATGAGATGGTTTTAGTTTTCTTGTCTTCTTTGACTTTTTACTTACAGCTGGCTTTAATGCTTTTAAAGACTTCTAAGACCAGTTATAACTTACATACTCAAAGGTAGATCTAAGTTTGTGGATGATGTATACCTTGGATATTATTTCCCTATATTTCTATAGTCTTCCCTCTTTCAGAAAACTTCAGAGGAAATATACTCTTCTGCAAGATACTCTTCTGTGCCATGTTAAAGGGCTGCCTGTCAGTATAAGCAAGACAGTGCATGTGTGCACTGGCTGAGCTCATATCCTGTAATAACACACTGACAACTCAAATAGAGCTGGGTCTTTTGAGATTCTCTATTGTGACTGGCTATTGGCTCCCTTGTAACTAAGCTGGGTGGTGTAAGAAATTATCTGCTTATCCTACTTGTTCCCAGTAAAGGGAATGACCCTGTTAGCACTGCAACTCATTTCAATGTTGGTTAAAAAATGTTTGTCATGCTAAACACTTCTGAAACTTACTCTGCTTTCTGTGTAAACAGAGGAGGAAGACTCATGCACTCGGTTATTTTTAGTCTTAGCTGTGGAACTGCTGAAAAACAAACCAACCAAAAAAACCAAAACCCCAGCAGATACTATTTTAATGTGATTAGAGCAAATTTCATTGTGCCTGCAGAACAAGATGCCTATAGGTGTTTCTGTAAATCACAGGAAGTGTTCACTTGTATATTTAGCTATAAGCATTTAAAAAAGTGCTTCAGTATAGTGAGCTAGTATTAACTAATAGTGAATCCTATTCTTCTGAAGCAATTACTGTTTCAAGTTTGAACAACAGATTACTATTGTTCTAAAGAAGTCTCTCTATGCTATTCAGAAGATACTTATTAGACCAGATGCTTAACATATATGAATTATTTTGCATTAAAGACATTGTCTTATTTTAAATACACTCTGAATCTGTTTTCAATTGAAGTTATTTTTAATATGCATTTTCATAATCTGGTTTTCCTAATAATCCTAAAGGTGTATTCCATGGAGATTACCAATCTTCACATAGAATCTCTGAGATTAGATTAGAATTTAGGGGATTTGGCTATTTGTTTAACTCAGCAGTTTACGCTAGGTTTTGTAAACCTGTTTATAAGTCATTTATTCTGAAAGGATCTAAAACTTTGAGAGTTCATATTTATCCTAACTACATAAGAAGTTTATTTTGCCTCTTTTATTCATTAATCATATCCTAGTAATATGTGATAATTTAGATCTCAAGGGGGAGCTAGCCAAGCACTGTCT